CTCGGGGCGCGTACCTGTGGCTCGCGATGTAAAAGCAGAATCTAGGCCGATATAAATAGGCTGACACGCCACGGAATATAACAGGTAGAACTTTAAACATTGCGCGCCTCGCCACTCGCCACGCCGCGAATACTCGTGAAAGAGACTCGCAGAAGACAGCGGCGCAGAGGAGTGCCGTCCCCTTTTGCGACTTCTTCTTTTCCGCGTGAAAAAATATTTCCGGAGCAAACGAACGAACAAATGCCAGAGACGAAAATATATACTGTCTCGCGCGAAATACAAAACATACCTAAGCACAGTATGAAAAGGCTATACATGAATTTTTAGACGAGCATCTGCATTTATTTATACCCATTCGTTCTCAATTCAATTGAAATCACTTACGGTTATTTGGGAATAAATTAAGAAAGTAAATATTTTTGCTCTGAATAATTTTAATTTTGGATTGGATAATACGATTTAAAATTTATGAAATAATCAAATGAATGCTGAATATAAACAAAAAATTAATAACTGGTCGAATTTTTTTAATTGTAGTTATATTGTTCTTGTATCGTATTTAATAAAGACACGTCTGCAATTTTTAATTTATTTAAAAGAAACAGGAAGATATTTCGACTAAGGTTTTCGGAGCGCGTACTTTACGTGGTACCGAGACATTTAATTATCTTATTGGACGGCAGAATCAACGAAATAACAATGATGGTGATAATACGATATTATAATTGCAGAAATTACTGTTATCAGTATAGCGGACGTAATGGACAATGAAAGAGACAGAAAGCGGATGCGAGACTCCAATTGAGATTTAGTACACGGCATTGAGTCGCACGATTCCAGTTTCTTTCTTTTTTTCTTACGCGTAGACTGAATATAAGTACTGAGAGTGTCGAGACGCAGTGCGTTCCACTCCGATGCGCTCCTCCACGTTCCCGTGGCTCATAAAGAGAGGCAAAAAGACTCGCCAGCGCGAGACCCTTCGTATAATAATTGCACCCGCTGTCCTAATTTTGGCTTCCCCATGTGGTGTGCTCTCATCGCGACACAAAGAAAACAAAATAAGGCTGCTATTTAGCCGAAAATCGCAGCAATTTTAAAACCCGTTATATGTATGTCAGTGTCTATTAAAAAAAAAAAAAAAATACTTTCGCTATTGTTGGCAATATAATATCCGAGCCTTAATGAAAACTCCGAGCACTAATTTTCTTTTTCACGACTTATAGATATTTTCGATATTGAATATCTTACTAACTGAACCTCAAATGAAAGATTCGCCGTAAAATTAGAGTTTACTTTTTAATTTAATTTACTTGAAATCAAGTAAACAAGACTGAATTGTATTTATTCGAGCTTTTTACTTGTCGATTCGAAATAATTTTGCACGATCGGAAAAAAATAATCAAGAATCTAAATATCGGTGAGAAAATGATGATAACCAACGTAGTAACAGTTAACAGTATAACCTTAGTACGGCATAAATAAATTGTCCGCGGCGATCGAAGTTGCTGCCGCATCGAAATGTATTCGCTATATATAATATCGATCTGCCGTTAACGCAGAGTCGGACACGAAATTTAATAGAGAAGCCGCTCGCTTACGTTACCGGAGCGGACACGAGCGTGAAGGGCAGGAGGAAGTTCATCTTCCGGAAGAAATCGCGCGGGGATTTCTTTGTCCCTTCGGGTCGGAATCCACCCGAGTCGCGGCTGAGAAGAGATGTATACCGGGTGGCACGGCGTGCATACGATGTAACGTGGTGTCGAGACGTGCGTGCGTGCGTGCGTGCGTGCGTGCGTGCGTGCGTGCGTGCGTTTCGCTTCGATGCACTCAGCCACCTTTGTGTCTGTTTCTCCGTCTCTGTCGCTCGCTCCCGTCGCGAGATCCGTGCGCTCGCCGAGCGAAAAAAGGCGTACCGCAACAAAACCTCTGCGCGGTCGTATATATCGCCGTTGTCCCAATTCCACCTGGTATTGTGTCACTCGATTTCGATTTACTTTGTTATGCGGCTCGGACAAGCGTACCTCTCTCGAGCCCATCGTATTGTAATCAGTAACGTTAGACTGTGCGTTTAAGTATATATAACACAGAATGTCCAAATATCATATAATCAGAATAACTTAATTTATATGATTATTATGATAATTATATGAAAGATTGACTTTCACTTAGGCGAAGGTTCGTTTGGCTGAAATTACATCTTAAAAAATGTAATGATTTCTCTCTCACACAAGTTACAACATAAACATGATTATGTTGTAACTCTCTCGTGTTTTGTAAATATAAAAAAATAAGATAGTACGAATTGAAATCGATGAAGGACCACTCACATGGACCCTTCCATGGTTCAAAGCCTGCCATGAATACTCGTTGAAAACAGCTCTCTCACGCTTTCACCCAATTACGTTGCCCTTAAAATCTCGAAAGATCTAATCAGGGTCGGAATTTTTCGGAGATACGATAGGTTGTGATGGATTAAGACAATATAAAACACGAGCCTGTAAATTCCGTAAATACTTTTTTTTGCAAAGTTGCGTCCTTTTTCTGCACACAATTTCGTATGTATCCTGCTAGAAAAGTATTATACTGAGTTGGCAAGAAAATAATTGCGTTTTTTTAAAAAGCATCTATCAGTAAAAACCACAATTATTTTCTTACCAACCAATATAAATATATCTTGATAGAGTAAAGTTTCAGCTTTAAGAATCTCTTTTTTAAATTGCGATACGATAATTTTTAATAGAGTTATGAGCAATTAAAGTCAAAATGATCCTTTTATTTAATCCGCGATAACTCAGTAACCAAAAATCGTGGGAATATTTAAAAAAAAAAACAATTTTGTAGGGAAAGTATCAAACTTTCACGATAGGTAGTCGAAAATTTTTTCAAATTTGTTTTAGACACGTTACAAATCCACAAAGTGAGAAGAAAATTTTCCGTCTTTTCAGCTTGTAGTTTTTGATTTATGTAAAAATTATTAAACTCAACATATAAACTTAAAAAATGTGGTAAGCTTTTAAAAGTAGAGATTTCAAGCTTTAAAATCCTTTTTTAAATTTAAATTTCATTCATTATTAACGAAGATATTGTATATACAACAACTTTGAGGTAAAAAAACTCAATTACTTTCTTGCCAATCCAATATTTCCAATAGAAGAAATATCTCTAAACTTCCGGTTGACTTATCCACTTCTACTGACCCACAATCAACGTCGTTCCAGCGCCTAAAACGTTTGCGTCATATAATCTCGTGAAATAATTATTTGACAACGAAATGCAACGACTAAGAACTAAATACATATTGCCGACACGGACCAAAGACTCTACGAGCACATGCGGAACGATCATATGTGAAATACGTCAGTATTTGTGTAATTTTATTGCAAACATTATTAACTGACCACCAATACCCTAGAAATGCAAGAATGACTCATATCCATAGAATAACACTTATTATGACTCGTCAGTGATTTAGTAATCGTCAACTAGTTTAACTTGTTATTCCTCTTCTCACTTTTACGTAAAAAACGTGCATTTTTTTCCAAGTCTCAGATATATTAATAAATAAGTAGTGTTTCTCATTGTGTTTTTTGTTACAAATAATTTTCCGAGCTCCTTTTCTAGCGAACTGGAAAGAGATAAGAAATCAATCATGAATGACGGTTAGTTATGTTGTAAAACCGTAAGTCGATAATGATCCTGTTCGCGCGATTGATTCGCTAGACTCTGAGTGCGGGTGTCGGTCGTTCCGTGTGCAAGGCGTCCATAAAGGCGTCACGCTCGCTGAACAGAGAGCCCTCCTTGATCCAAATTCCAACCCGAGGGTCGGAGGTCGAGCGGAGGTTCGCGATCTGATTTTAATATATACGTAGACGAAAGTGAATAAAAATGATAACGCACGACGAACTGCAAATCATTTACGATTTTTCTGCTTCTTAAGAATGATCTCTAATACTATTAATAATAGAAGTCGTAGCAGTCGTAAGATCTTGAGTCGTAGAAAATTAATCAATCACAGTCGAATAATGAGAAGAATAATCGACTATGATTGATCAATTTTCTATCCCGTATAACTCACGCAAACTCCAGTCGCATCTCGCTGACTTTATTCCAACTGATCCATTTTATATTTGTCCTTTTACGAGAACTATCATATTATTATATGTATGTTTACTTTTTATAGTTGTACATACCAATGAATTTATTGAATTTATTATCCGGTAAATATTTCTCTGGAAAATATTTCTGAAGTAGTGTATTTAAAAAAAGGAAAAAATAAACTATATCATTTAATCAAATGCCTCTTTATAATATTTCAAACAAAAGAAATGCATTCAACGAAAGAAAGAACACGAATAACTCAATCGTGTGTATTAATAGTTGAGGTTCATTAGCATCGATATTATTAAATTGCAATTGTAAATTTAATTTATTACGTACTTCAGCTTCAAGTTCAAAGCTTCTGTGTTACAAGACAAACATTTGGTGCGTAATTTGCATAAACTGGAAATTGTAACATTCACATAAAAATATTAAATTTTAAAAACATTAGTTCGCTTTGACCGAATACGGTCTTCCCTTCTCCGTTTATTTGTATCGATCATTCCTCGGTCAATTTTCATTTATTATTACCATATTGTTACGCCGACATTTATGCTATGATATTACTGCTATGTGCACAACCAATTTAATCTTATTTAAACTCGGCATTCTCGTCCCATCGTAGATATCAGACAACGCAGAGGTTACCCCTAATTCCTATGGACCGCAACAAAACGTGTCCGTGATGGATCAATGCGGTCGGCACGTGATTAATAATTCTCATTTCTTCCAATGACGTGTGCAAAAGGATTCGCCGACGTTCAAGCCGATGATCTTGATGAGGTTCGTGGAAATGACGGAGTACGGTAAGTGGATGGAGAAAGAAGAGATTTCGTAGCGGGAGAGAAGCTGGGAGGTGGTGAGAGATTTCGGGATTTGCGGGCAGACGCGGGCGGTCGAACAGTGCCAGGGGCAGGTAAAACTCTCGTCGTTTCATTTCGCTCCGTCTCGTTTCGGCTGCGCCGTCTCGTCGGCGTCGCCTCTGCCCTTGACACAGTTCTCCTGGTTCTCCTGGTTCTCCTCGCGCCCTCGCGGGAGAGGAGCTCGTTCTCGCTGTTAGACGAGCTCTCGCACGGACTGGATCGCGGCGAGGGCACCTTTCCCTGTATGCGTCTGCATACGCGTGCATGCGTATGCGTATGCGTCATGTTATGAATTACGGGTCGTTCGCGGCCTCTCGTAATGGATTTTCGGGGATTTAAGGGCTGAGGGAGGGGAGTTGCGATGAAATATAGGCTGCTCTCCTTTCAGGAGACACGACCTACTCAAATGTCGTTCCATCTTTGTTATTCATTCATTGAATGCCATTGAAGAAGAATTGAACAACGTTCGACCGTATCTCTTTTTAAGAGGAAAAAAAGTCATAGAGACAGGCTCGATTATATTTCCACGGAACCAAATTCAGGCAACTGCAGATTGGTTTGGACCATCTCCTAATTTAGATTGTTGCGATGAGCCCAGAAAACAAACATTGCGCGGCACTCAAGAGAACGTTTAGAGAGAAATTGTGCGTCGTGTTTACTTATGTAGTATCTGTAGATTTATTTATTTACGATAAAATGATGTGCTCTTCCTAATTTGGGAAGTCTGTCTTTCCGAGAAACTATGCATCAAGACAAATAAATGTATTAATAAATTTTTGGATTATGAACATCTTTTCGAGATTCGGTAAAATATATTGTAAATTTTATTTTAAACTGAGACCTATTTTTCGATTATTATCTTTGTCAAAAATTAGAATTATCAAAATAATTGAAAATTAGAATAATAAACGAAATGGTAGCAGAAAGTCATAGATTATAAAAATAGAGGAAAACGGCATAATCTTAGATGAATCTTTTTGCTACCATTCTGTTCACCATTCCAATTTTTATAACAGTCTCTCTTTTTTATTTTCTCTTCGCGTCTATGTATTTTCTATTTGAGATCTGTCTTATATCTCGCCGCTCTATTTTTGCTTATATCCGATCTACAAGTTCCAGAAAGTTCAAATATCGGAGATCACCTCGTCTCACTTACGACGCTCACGCAATATTTTATACACTATATAGCACCCGCGTGCAGTACACACAAGCTGTGTAATTATTCAGAACAAGCCGTGTAACACGCGTAGCAACCACTCGCGAGCGGTCTTTCCCGTCGGTAGATAAGTACATTCAAGGTCAGCCTTTAGCGCAGCCGAGCGTTTCGTCACGGATAGGACGAGTTGCGCACCTTCCCCGTAGCCACCTTCACCGATGTTGACTCGTCGGTTATCCATCGACTATTCTGTTCTGTGCCCGATGAAAATCGATCCATTTTATACATTATTCGCGTTCATAGGAAATACAGCGGCGTTACATTCGGACAGTTCGAGCCGACGCACGAAACAATGACGATTCCATGCATTGAAAAAAAATTTCTGAAATTGAAAATGGACGAATCAGAAATTTCTGATTAAATTTATTAGAATTCTAGTTGAGATAACCGGAATTCTGGTAAAATCTACAAAAATTTTTATTTTTACCAGAATAATTATATTAATCAAAATTCTAGTTATCTCAATTAGAATTCTAATAGACTTAACCAGAAAATTCTGATTCGTCTGTTTTTCACCAGAATTACTATTTAATCCAACCAGATCATTTTTGTCGGTGTGCCGATCAAAATTTTAAGGATTACGAAATGATTTGCGGTCCGATGCGCGACGGACAACCGTATCGTCAAATTAATGCGATAGCATCGCCAATTACCTGTTTCACCCTCACGTCATATTTCCTACATCGAGTACCTCGTCATCATTTCGCAATATCTGATAAATAACCGGCGGAGATGTGAGGAGGGTGTGGGCCGGTCGGCGGTTAATGAATGCATAATTGTTCCGAGTAACGACGGTTCGTCCGACTTGCTTAATGATCGACGTAATTACGACCGGACTTATCTTCATTACCGAAAACACCACCTTAAGATGGATGAGATCGGATGGGATGAGTCATTATGTATTTCTTAGCCGAAAGTTGAGGACTCGCTCGATTTCAACGTTCAACATTTTCCATAGCCTCTTTATTTCACGTCACATTGTCTACATCGCTCGCGTGATTCATTCTCCTATTATTTATTGTCAAAAAAAGCTAAGAATTATTGTTGCACTCGACGGGAAATGTGTATGTAACGAAAAAAACGAGAAAAAAAAGTAACTATTATGATATCTAACTGTAATACATTGCGTTTCAACTTTGAAGATTTTTTATTTCAAAAGAGTCTAATTCTAACGTCAACTCAGTGCTATAATATTATATAAATAATATAGGAAAGTTTAAGAGTGATTTAAAAAGGAGTGCTTTTATATAACTTTTTTCTCTCTGTAATGAGCAATTTATTAACACACAATGATTTTTTTACCAATAGTAACTACTTGACGTAAAAACATGATGTAGAAACTAACAAGATATGTCTTTATTATATAGGAATGATATTTAGACAAAGATACATAAATAACGAACTGCAATATTTGCAACTGCGATGACATATATGTATATTTATCGATCAATAATGATCGATCTAATGATAAACAAATTTCTCACATTACGTTCTACGATGACAATAAAAATAAACGCTTTTCTCGGAATCAAGAGCGCGCATTCGCTCATTGCAACGGAAGGTTTAACCGTGTCACGGATTTAAAGGTCAGACTCTTTCCACGTAGCATACGATCGAAGATCTTGTGCGGTGTATCCAGCACTAATAACAGAGTCTCTTTGAGTGATTTGCGTTAATGACATTTTTTCCTGCAAAAAATTCAGTCGGAATAAATCCCGGTGAAGTGTAAAGTCAAGCTTTTGTAATTATAGTGTTAGAATGATGTTTTTAGGTCATCGCATATGTTATTCTTCCCCTCTATGTATCATTTTGGTGTATAAATAGAGCGAAACTTATTATCGGGCCAAAAGGATGAAAAAAATACATATTGATAAAACGCTTACATGTTATGCAAATGAAAGCTTCTGAATGTGATACGAATGGTAATTAGGTCAAACTGCGCAACTCGGACTTCGTCAGACAATTCCGCGCGAGTCGTAATATCCTGATCTAATTTATAAAATAAGCCTCATGTTTATATTTACGTTTACATAGACGATAATTTGCGCAGTGAATCATATAATTTCTGTGACATTCTCATGGTAAAATAATGATAATTACGTGGCTAATCAATTTATTGTCTATCAAATCCATAATCTAGATGATCCTACGAGTTAAGTCTACAATATATACTTTGTACTTATTGATCTTTATAATATTGACTATTATAAGAGCTGGATCTGATACACTTAAAAAATACGTACGAATAAAAGCATAATATAATAGCATTTTAATTGCGGGATATTTACCTTATTGAGAATGTTATTTTATCTATAAATTATAAAACACGCGAGCGATACGTCAAGATTTAGATATTACGTAACAATGTGATAACAACAATAATAAGAGTACAACTAGAATTTTCAGGTTAAAGATAAAAGTTACGATCTAGTGTCCACAATTTATAATGTTACTCTGACAAGGTGAGAAATGCATCGTGCGTCAAAGGGTTAGAAGCAGCGAGTATAGGAAAAACTGGCGAGAGGGAGGGTAGAAAGGAAGCGGGCAAACAGGCGAGGAAGAAGCGCGCGACGGGGGTCGAAGCAGAAGTGGATGGCGAAGAAGGGGAAGGGAGGAACGATGGAATGAGGTCGCGCTGAAACTGGGCCAGGTTTACTCGGTAAGTATGTCACCGCTTATTGATCACCGTCATCCACCCACAACCCCTTGCGGCACCACTTATCGCCGGTTGCGGGGCGGCTCGCGGGGGTGAGGAAGGACGAGAGGATAGGGATCGGAGGAAGAGGAGGAAGAGGAGGAAGAGGAGAGCGGGCAAACTGTTGCAACAGTTTATTTTCATTTATCGTCTCTTCCCTGCTTGCCCTCTTCGTACTCTTGTCTTGCGGTGCGAGAATGTGCTCGCGTACAAAACGAATCTCTCTCTCTCTATTAGACCATGAAATTATACTATAGTAGTCTCTCGACAACCATCGGCAATCATTGTGTCCGCGAGAGACACAAACAAAAAAATATCATTCTATTGCTAAGAAAAATAATTACTCAAAAGTATTTATTTTCTTTCTTCTAAGAAATGTTCACAAAGATCTTTAACAAGGATTATTTCCTTGGTAATAATCCTTAAAATATGTTTATGATAAATTTTAGAAAAATTCATTGTTATATATACTCAAAAAAGGAATTAATGTTTTTGAAAGAATATTATAAAATTGATCAAAGAAGCGGCAAATTTATATAATATACAAAGGTAAATTGAATTTATTTTAATTTAATAATCTTGATTAAAGTACCAAATTTACTAGGATCCAGAATATATTTTTAATAAACTTGATACTTACGCGACAATTGAATTTATAATTTGCGGACATATTTATTTTTTTAAATACTTGAAACAATTGATATTAATATTTGCGTACAATATATATTTTTCTGTGTGCAGACAAGGAGAAAAATAGAAGATTTCTTCATTCTTTTTCTCCCCTTCATTCGAAAAAGCGGGGCTCATCTTTGACGACTTTCTTATATGTTTTATATATGTTTTAGTCTTCAACATCAGATGTGAGTTAATTTCTAATTGAAATAGATACACGCAAGATTGAATTGTATTTCGAACTGTAACTTAAGTTGCTTTTCTTTCTGAATTTATCGTATTTTTCATTTTTTTTTTGTCTTACACCGTTCTCTTTTATATTTCAAACTTTTTAAAATAATTCTATTATTATTAGAATAATTCTTTAATTATAATTTAATTAAATTAACTTGTTGATGGCTCATTAGTACGTTCTCGTAGAATAATTTAAAGTTTATAAGGAATTTTTTGTTTTTTGAACAAATCGTCTCTCGCTTCCGAGCCGCACTATGAATTATATATTCCAGTGAATGTAATATGGTACATAATATTTCCGACATTGGTCAACAGGTTCTCCTCGGTCTAACGTTTCCTCATTACGTAACGGGCTTTTGGGGCCGATTTCACTATTTCGGTTTAAAGGCAGAAGAAACGGGGGGATAACATGTCTTTGGTAACTCATCGTTTCGGAGAATCATCTCAAATGAATAAATCCATCAGTTC